AATATTTAGTTACCTTTATCTAGTTAGTGCATAGTTGGCAAATGAATTTAGTTAGAAGAAAGTACCTTAGTAGCAAGAAGTGTCTCATTGTGTGATAATAAAGTGAAAAGTGACCCTGAGTGTAATTATTTCATGTGTAAACCGGTCTCTGACGAGAAGCACGTGCATGCTCTCCCCTTCAGTACATGCAACCCAAATGATGGTCTCTAGAATCATGCTAGATTAATTGAACTGACACTAAACATACTGTTTAATTTTTATTTTTGGGAGAAACATAATGTTTTATTTTAGAACTGAATTCTTTCAAGTACATTTAAGTTGCGGACGGTATATTAGTCTAATGGTCAAGTTGCTCCAATACTTGCTCACCCACCATTGTTTGATGGATAACTATATTTTTCGTTTCAAAAAAGTTTATATAGGGTTTACATCAAAATATTACGCTAATGCGTATAGTTTCAAAATGCAACTGACAACATACGAATTACATATACATTATGTGTATATTTTATGTTTGGTTTAATTTTAATTCAACTGATTCTGGTATTAGGTATGTTTGGTAATAACTTATATCACATGGTGTATCAGCATTTAATCATATCTCTAGTTACCAGAAATCCAAAACCCTTTTCAGTATAACCAAATTAAAGTGGAACAATAGTACAATGATTTATTTTGTGAACTGAGAGATTAGCGCTCCAATCCTCCACTATATTTTTTTAAAAAAAATGCATGTAAATATCGAACTAAAACTTGCTAAAGTACTAGTATATATAGTTCGATTTTCATGTAATCAACCGCGTAATTATAAAATTAATAAACAACAAGTAAGAATCAAGGATCATGAGTGGTAGTGGCTTTGGATGAGCTGGAAGACACCTATCACACAAGTAGTCTCACAAGTGTGATTGGCCTTACAGGTTTATACACCCCGTCAGAATCTACAGAATATTTAATATGTTAGATACTAATTTGCGGAAAATTATATTTATATTTTTGTTATGCTTAAACAAACATCGGTTCGTTATACTAATTTTACAGATAAAACAAGTGTATGAAATGTCTTTTGATCACTTGAATCATTTCTAAAATAGTTAAAACTTGGTAGTATTAAATACTATAGGTTAAGTGTAAACTATAAGTATGTTCCACTGCATTGCCTTTGCTTGATTTCAGTTTATACGTTAATTTTATAATATTGTTTACACTTTTACTTGTTCCAATATTCATATAACTAATGGTCATAGTCTAACGGCTTTAATCCACTTCTTTGGTGACATGTGCTAGCGCTGCACTAATACTAATGTTTAATTAAGCAATAAATGGAGACAAGAACCAAACATCAACAATTATAACAACGCGTTAACAGAGCGAATAATTAATTTGTTTATATTTATATTAAATAAAGCTGAATGATCCTTCATTTTAAACTCTCTACCTTCTTCACGCGTATTCTCCAACTTCAATAATTTTTAAGTAAAATTTCCAACTACTTACCTTGTCTCTTTTACACTTTTATTATTCTTTATAGACTACAGAAACTCCACTAAATCTACTTTGAACTTTTATATAGATAGCAAAATGTTTTTAAATGTATATTGACACAAAGATAACGTGAAATGGTATAATATTATAGTTCACTATAGTATCCAAATTGTCAATTAGTGTTTGCATTTTTTTTAGAGACTATAGTCTTTTTTTTTTGACTAAAATACTTAATAGACTTACTCTTTAGTGTTTAAGTAACAATAGTTTTAGCTACACATATAAAAAAAAAATCACACTATGTCCTGGAAATTGTAAAAAAAAAAAGTTTTGGTATCTTATTCAAATTTCATTTTTTAGTTCTAATCTCGAAAAGGTTAAAATACTAAGCAAAGAGGTAACGTTTAGGTCAATCAACCATTGTACCAAAAATATTTTATTAAGATTTTTACCTAAATTATTAATATTTTTTTTATTAATATATTAATATTATTATTAACTGCAACAATATTTCTCTCCCCCTCTATAAAATATAACCTTGAGACAATGTTCACTTCAAGTCTCTCTTGTGTAACAGAACATCAAAGCTCGGCTTTCTTGAGTTCTCTGTTCTCAAAAGTCAAGAGTTATGGTGAGAGTCTTTCTTCTCTACAATCTTTTAAACTCATTTCTTCTCTGTTTGGTTCCCAAGAAGCTCAGAGCTCTCTTCCCACCTTCTTGGTACACCGACGATAAGATCACACCACCGTCTGAATCAGGATGTAGTTCTTTGAGAACAGACCCGGTGGATCTAAAAAGAGTGTTTCAGATGTTTGACAAGAACGGAGACGGCCGCATCACAAAGGAAGAGCTGAATGATTCTTTAGAGAATCTTGGAATCTTCATGCCAGACAAAGATCTGATCCAGATGATCCAAAAGATGGATGCAAATGGAGATGGTTGTGTGGACATAAACGAGTTCGAGTCTCTTTATGGTTCTATTGTTGAAGAGAAAGAGGAAGAGGATATGAGAGATGCGTTTAATGTGTTTGATCAAGACGGTGATGGGTTTATTAGTGTTGAGGAGTTGAAGTCTGTGATGGCTTCCTTGGGACTCAAGCAAGGTAAAACTTTAAAGTGTTGTAAAGAGATGATTATGAAAGTTGATGAAGATGGTGATGGTAGAGTTAATTACAAAGAGTTTCTTCAGATGATGAAATCTGGTGGATTTAGCAATAGATCATAAGATGATTTGATCCTTTTTTTTTTCCTCTGTAAATAGTTTCATTTAATGTTTTGTTTTAATGTTTGAACTGAATTGTTAAAACATTAAACAATCTTTGTTTTTTTCTTCTTTTTCTTACAACTCTGAATGGTGCATGCCACGTGACTTTGCCAGCTTGAAAACACTCATGTGTTGTAAACAGAACCAAAGATGTAATGATAGATTGATTATTGGACGAAGATGGGTTATATAATTGTGGTCAACCTAAAGTGGGTGATGCCTTACTTAGGGCTCAAGCAACAAACATAGAGTTATGATTAAAACTCAATTAGTAAGCTGGTTTGAATCATCACTTTCAGAGTTGTCTTCTTAAACAGATTGTTTCTTACAGAGGATTCTGATAGAGCTTAAAAACCATCACCTGCTTATATACACTTACACCAAACTCAATGTTGGAACATAAGAAGAAGAAGTAACAAAACTTTGTTGAAGACCATTGCAAGCTCTTTTGTTTTTTTAGGACAAGAAAAATATTTATTAAAAGAGAAGAAATGGGGGAATAAAAAAGAGACGATCTATCTCCTAAATCAAACGTGAGACAAACAATAAAAAGACTATACTTGGTTCTGTTGATGATCTCTCTGTTCCAAATCCCTCACATTGTCTACTATGTGTTGGATTCTCTTAGTAAGACTTTCATTGTGCTGTTCAATCTGTTCAAATAGCATCTCTAGATGCCTCTTGTAAGTAGCTGCTCTCTTTTTCTCTGCAGCTAACTGCTGCATCAGCTCCTGAATTTTATCATGCTCATTCTGCAAATGAAGAAAGCAAACTCTTAGTATCCAACTCTTTAAGCAGAATCAAACAAGCACACATGAATATGATAAGAGAAATAACTAACCGGATACTGATCATAGATGCAACCCCTTCGAACTCTTCCAGGCATCAAAGGATGATTATGCTCCTTAGCAAACTTTGTAATAACCCATTTACCTGAATTTTCTTTCCTAATCAAGATCATTGCTCTACACCCAACCCTTGTCTCCGCTCTTTGTCTAATAACCTTGTCACGCTTACTAGGCAACCTATACCCTTCCTTGTTGCAAACAAGTTGCCTTCCTATAGGAGATCCATCATGCCTTGACCGTGACAGTTTGCTAACACGGATGACAAACCCTACTTTTGTAGCGTAAGCATTATAAAACCCATGTGCTGCTGCTTCAGATTCAAACTCCTGCCCAACATAAGGCTCATCACCTTGAACCTCCTCCTCCTCCTCCTCCTCGGCCATATCAGAAACAGCCAGAGGGATAGAATCCGGATCTACCTTCTCATCTTCCTCAAGAGGTATCTCTTGACCTATCTCGTTATGGTTTTCATCGTCTTGCTCAAGAGTCATTGCTTGATTAGAGGTTTCACCCATTTCGTTATGGTTCTCCACTGGAATATCCATCATTATCCCAGCAGCGTCGCCATTATCAATCCTAAAATCCACTGCAAATGAACAACCATTTGCACCAAAGAGTTACTCATCAACAGGTGGATTCAACCATCTCCACTAGAAGAAGCCTTTCAGACAAAACTTAACCACAAGTGGTTTCAAAAGTCATTCTTACACAAATCAGATATCTACATCTATAAAAAAAACAAGTATTATCCTCTTACAAGAAACCTTTAAGACAAATCTTAACTACAGGTGGTTTTAAAACACATTTTGATAGACATCTACCAAAGAACAAGTACAAGTTTTAATGCTCTTAAAAGAAACCTTTTAATAAGACAAATCTTAACTTACAAGTGGTTTCAAAACTCATTCTTACACAAATCAGATATTTATCAAAAAAACAAGTACAAGATTTTACTCTCTTACAAGAAACCTTTAAGACAAAATCTTAACTACAAGTGGTTTCAAGAGACATTTTGACACACATCATCAGATATCTATCAAAATTACAAGTACAAGTTTTTATCCTCTTACAAAACAGCCTTCAAGACAAAGCTTAACTACATGTGGTCTCAAACCACAACAATACAAAAAAAACAAAGCTTAAGTGAAACCTTAGGCCTAAGCATGCCTTGAGATGAATCTATTATCAAAGTCTTTCTCACCAAAACAACCATTGCACAAAGACTACCCAATCAACAGGTGGGCAAAAACACATTTTGACACACACTATATAACTACCAAAGAACAAAGTACAAGACTTTTTATCCTCTTACAAAACATCCTTCAAGACAGCTTAACTACAAGTGGTTTCAGTCTCCACAACAATACAAATAAAAAGTTCCTTTCTTTAAGGTATGCCTAAGCATCTCCTGAGATGAATCTATTCAAAGATTCAAGCTTTTTAGCAATGGATAGTTTTGTAAATCATCAAAAGTATCGAACTTGAGATGTGTTATAAGAACTAAACTTACTGTCAGAGTTTTTTTTCCGGGGAGATTCGCCGGCGGCGAAATTAGGTTTTTTTCGATGGGGGGGAGAGACAGAGAAGGTGCTGGTTCAGGGTATGGATTACAAGGGACGCAGTAAACCTATGACGTGGCGAGAGATGATTGGGTCAATATCGGAAAGAAGTCAACTCACCGTTCATCTAAAGCTACGAGAGGAACGACTCTATGGTTTGTACTGTGCGCTTCTCCTCCTCTGATAATAACTCCTCGATACACGTTTTTTTTTTTTTTTTTTTTTTTTGCCTTTCTAGATTTTTATTTCTCGCCGGTGTGTCCATAACTTTTGATAAAGTTACAAATTGACCCATTTATTATCTTATTGTACAAAATCGCCCTGTTATGGACTAACAAATTATATAATTTCATTGCCTTCAATTTAAGTGCCAATCAGAGTCCAATTCAAGCTAACTGCAAACATGTTAGATGAGCCTGTTCTCGAACTCCACACGGTAACAGAACTATTCCAGACTATGCTTCACATTAAGTGACATTTGTTAAACGTATTTAGACATATTAGCCATTGTTACAAATCAACCTGATATTCAGTGTGATAGTAAGTATACTTAGCAACATACAAAAGGGTTTAGACCATGATTAACCTGAGATTTTTATGGTAGGATTCTTAGCGGAAGTTAAGAAAATGTTACTTCAATTTTTACTAAAAAAATTAAGAACCATTCCTTAAAATCTTTATTTAAAAATCGATTATTTAGTTAATAGTTAAAAAAACAGTTTCTTGATTTCCGCCAAAAATCTCACCAGAGTATCAAGCTTGCGGCCGTTCATTTTATTAGGAAGTTTCTGCCACATATTTTATATTGTCCCTTTGGTCTAGTAGCAATGCACACAATACTCACCTTCTTCGGATCACAGGTTCGACCAATGGTGGTCAGTATCGGTCACGTTTTTTTTTGCTTCCAATCTTAAATATTCTAGGACTAGCTCTGAATTGCATCCTAAAAACTTTGGATTAAACATGTTCTTACTATTATCCAGGGATTATCTAAAACAACGTGACTAAAGAGTAGCTTACTAGTATCCAAAACTTAGACAATCAAATATTTATACCGATCTTCCCAGAGTTGGTGTATAAACCCAAATTAGAATAAACAGTCACATCATTAGTAGCTACAACTAGGGCTGGGCATTTTATCCGTTATATTTGATTCGATTCGTTATTCGTTTTGATTCGATTCGAAAATTCCGGATATCCGTAAACTTTCGAATCAAAGCAAATACTAAAATTCAGTATCCGTTATAATCGAAGCAAATCACAAATATTAAAATTTTGGGAAGCGGATATCCGATCCGATCCGGAAATATATAAATATATGTATATCTTGATTATATATAAAATTTTAAATGTATAAAATTATATAATTATTATTCTAGCACATGATTTTGAACAATTCTATTAACATTATTACTTTTATAAAAGTATTACATAAAAGAGAGAAAAAATTTATGACAATTATATTTTTTTTCCTTAAATTTTGTGTTATTATAATTGTAACTTAAACTTAAAAAATTACAAAATATGTAAATTCACTAGTTCTTTTAATTTTTATTTTATATATCATGCAAAAAATATTTTTGTCCAAGTAAATTTGTATCAAAATCTTAAGATTATATGTATTAATTAAAATAGATGAGATATCCGTAAATATTCGTAAATATCCGCAAATATCTATTTATTTTCCGGATATCCGTTTTTCCGGATATCCGTATTTTTTCGAAGCAAAGCAAATAGCAAAATTAGATATTCGTAACATTCGAAGCAAATCACAAATACCTTAAAAAACCCGGATATCCGATCCGTGCCCACCCCTAGCTACAACATCCAAAACTAAAAAGTCAACATCAGAATGTTCCACTCATAACCAATCTTACGTTCGTACTTCTCAAATTCACCGGTCAGATCATGTTGAGTCTTGATAAAAGTGGGGTTTTCAGCACAACCCACCCACCAACAAAAATCACAGCAAGGCCAACAAAACTGACCACCATGTAATGCTGAGCCAAGATATGCAGTATATGTTCTAAATGATAATCGAAAAACCATGTTTCAAAGAAATAAAAAGATAAGTCAAACCATCGATAACTAATACTTCCCATGAAAAAAACCCCCAAAAATAAGTTGACAAAGGAAAATGATAACTTAGTTAGTTAAAAACTTGTAATATATTCACATTGTAAAATTTCAACCACGATCAATGCGATAACTTTAGAATATGTATAACTTCACTACAATGATGAAAATTATCTTACCGTTTTGAAATGCATGTGTTATTAAATACGTCTTTTTGGATCGTATCCGTTACTTAGCGTATACCAAAGATTTTATTTGCTTTTAACGTCTAAGCATTAAAGTTAATTCCGTTGATCAGTGATAAATTCAAAAATATTTATTACTTGGGGAAAGGAAATCAAATGGTGCTGACAGATCTCTCATAAATATATAACCATAAGGATAAGGATCATATAAGTCAAACCTAATCCACTTTCTAAAAGTAATAAAAATCACACATTCGTATTTTCAATTGAGTAAATTAAGAGATAATCTCTAT